TGACGGACGGACGCACGGACGCATGGACGGACGATCATGCGATTCTACAAGCTGCATCTGACTATGTCAGATGAGCTAAAAATGGAGCCAGTTGTTTGTGGACATAGATTAGATACCTGGATTACAGGTGGTGAAGTACTTTGAACACGTTAATCCCCCTGATCTAGTTGGATTTGTACACATTGTGTGGTCTTTCTTATCTTTCTGATAGTTTTTTGACATTGATGATTTGTCCCAGCTAAATTCCTTTTCCCCTTTCTGACCTCTACTTCTTCTCAAGACCTTAATGCTCAACTTCTGTCTCAACATAATGACAATAATTCTCGTCCTAAGAAATTTACATTTCTTTTGGGTAAGTTCAATAGTATCAAATGTGATTCTGATCCTGCTTTCCAGAACTTAATTAACGATCACTTGCCAGATATTGTTCTTGGCACTGAATGTAAACTGGACCCCTCTATTGCATCCAGGGAGGTGTTTCCGGATAACTTTAATATTTATAAAAAAGATCCCAACTACTGTGGCGTCTTTGTTGCTGTAAGAAGTCAATTTCTAGCTCTTTAGTAACTTCTTTTGATGAAGAAGTAACTGAACTCAGTTGGGTGAAGTTTAATATTAAGAATTCCAAACCCTTGCACTCTATGATTGGGTACAGGCCTCCTCTTGATCAATTGACAGGAATTGCTAATTCTGTGAATGCGTTTTTCTCTCGTTATAAATTTATAATGAGTCTTATCCACAGGTCTACACTTATTTGTAGTGACTTTAATTAACCTGGAATTGATTGGCAGTCCTATTCAGTGAGTGGCCAATGAGATACTCATTTATGTAGTCATCTGCTTGATTTGTGTGCTAATCATTCCTTGACTCAACTTGTTGCTCAACCTACTCGATGTACCGAATCTTGTAGCAACATTCTTGATTTAGTATTCACTAATTTTCCCAATTTAGTTTCTTCTATATCTGTGGTCCCATGGCTTTATAGTGTCCAATTTGGTACTCCTTTTTTTAAACCTTAGCTTTGCCGATTCAAAAACTCGGTCCCTGGCTTTTAAAACAATGATTCTCCCCCGCCATATTCGAATATGCTTCGCCTGGCTGGTGCCCCTATACTCTTCAAAACTATTCTAAATTGGATACTATTCAACATAAAGCTGCAAGATGGGTTTCCAAAAACTATTATGATAGTTCTGATGTTGTCTTGGTTCAACTTGATTGCCCTTCTCTTTGTGTCGCTTTCTCCATGCTACAACTTACTAAACCGTTCATAAAAATTTGGGCATCGGCTCCGAGTCTGTGATATCAATGGATATGTGATCTAGTAGCTAATCATTACTTCCGCGACATGCCATCTTCAAGGCACTTTAAGGTTTAGCCTTCTTTGGCCTCCTCTGTCATTTGCGTATTGGGAATTCTGCCCCTTCCTTTTTAGTTAGCTAATTGCAAACTTGAAGAATTTTCTACTGCGATCCACAAGTATTGAATTATTTATTTGATCAACTTTGTCTCTTTCCGTCTTTGATATAGTCCCTTGGACGTTGAAGTCTAATATTTACCAGGGCCGTAGGCAGAGCAAATTCCTAGGGGGAGGCAAAATTTCATGACAACTGTGTAATGATGAGCCGACAAAGGCGCACTCTTGATCGACGTCCATAGTGTGGTAGCGGTGGGTCTGATCGAGACAAGGCTTTCACCGATAAGTGACCAAAAATACCACGTTAGAATTATTTACGATATTAGCTCAGCTTTTTTTTTTATTTTGCTTCAAAATCTAACCCCACAGGCTACAGCCCCTGTTTACAAGGTTTACGAGTTATAACTTATAGTACTTTATACCAACAATACCAGCTGGTAAACTGAAGTCCATTTACATATATAATCAGAGCTAATAATACCGCTAATACTAATAGGTATTATTAGCTCTTGATATAATTGACAAGCTAATTCCAGGTACAAACGAACTGATAATTTCTAGCGATCCACATCTACATGACTCTACGCACGTGTACGGTATGATTCAATGCTTTACTTGTTGTCGTTATGCAGAGTGCCAATCCGTACGCCGGTACCCAGATGACACAATTAAGCAACAATGGAACCAATAGAGTGCAAGTTTACTCTTACATCACTGTGACATCACTACGACTGGGTCACTGTTTCTCCCTAGTGAGAGCCAACCAAGTATGTTATATATCCGCGCCCTATACTAGCTTTTAATCAGCTTATTGATAATTGGCTAACCATAACATTACCAGCGTTAATCTATAATTTATCACGTCTTATCTGGATCTACATAATAATTTAGACGAACTAAACACCTAGCTGTCAGCCCATTATTTCAATATTTGCTTTCTCATTCATCATTCATGCTGTTTTGGTGTTTATGATTTTATCGCTTTAATCTGAATTGGCTTGAAAAGAAAGAATGAGGTTACGGAGAACCAATAAATAAACTAAAGCAGTTTCACTCAAAATAATAGATCATCGTACTTCTACGACATTTTGTAGTATTATAACTATTATTAAGTCTAAAAGGGTTAACTTACATGGACCGACTATCTTGCACTGCACTCCCTGGCCTTGCTCCCTGGCGGTCTGAGCTGGCGGTCACAGAACGGTCATGTGGATGTTTTACTGTTTATGAAATTTGGCGCAGTCTATAAAAAGAAGCACCAATCGGGCGAATAACCGATTTCCGGAACTGTGATAGACCAATGTGATAGACGGGTTCCCTCGTCCTTCAGGAGTAGGTTCGGCTCACTCTGCGCACGTGATGATATCAATTATCACGCCAGAATTCTTCCGATGCCCTATAAAAACCTGGTTATCTATAAACACGGAGAAATGTGGTCAGTGACCGGTGTTGTATGTATTAACATCTCCTCGATGTCAGTAATGCAGTTTGTAGTCGCATCCTCAACCAAAGGTCATACTCAATAGAC